AGATGTGTTCCCAACATGTTGCTCCCACATGTTTATCGGACTGGAATACCTCGCTCTGAAGATTGCAATAGCGCATTGTACCTAATGAGTTCGTCTGGGAAAGCTAACTCTCATCCTATCTCAACTGGTTTCCCAAGCCACTGCAGTAATGCACCGCAATGCAGCAGGCCCTCCGTCGCTGGCGTCACAAATGAGTTGGCCTGGCTGATTCGCAAAAGCGTATTCCTCTTCTGTACTTTTTTCTCCACTTAGGTGACCCAAAGCGATAATTGCACTACATAGGAGGTGTTTTTGACGTCGACATCAGTCCGTCGTAACCTCATTCGTGTGTGTGGGTGTGGGGAAATAGGGAAACAGCAAAGGGTCGATAGGGGTCGATAGGGGGAACTTTGACCGCTGAATGAATGAAAATCGGCTTCAATACGTTAAATCTGTGAACGTTTTTGTTTGCGTAAAGGTTGCGCTCTGACCTGAATCGGGGANTAGGTGACCCAAAGCGATAATTGCACTACATAGGAGGTGTTTTTGACGTCGACATCAGTCCGTCGTAACCTCATTCGTGTGTGTGGGTGTGGGGAAGTAGGGAAACATCAAAGGGTCGATAGGGGAGAACTTTGACTGTTGAATGAATGAAAATCGGCTTCAATACGTTAAATCTGTGAACGTTTTTGTTTGCGTAAAGGTTGCGCTCTGACCTGAATCGGGGAGCGTCATGCTTCGTGCCCATGAAGGGCGGCCACGATAGCTCGGGTGGACCACACGCTGCCGCGTGAACTACCAGTTTCAATGAGAAACGTTGTATCAAAAGGTAGAAGGACACGGTAAGACTTACCTGACAATGGTAGCAGAGCGGTTATGAGTAACCGTGGAAAGAGCATGAATGCCCTGAAAAGTTGGAAACGTCTGGAAGCTCAAAGGAATCGAAGCGAATGACCGAAAGGAGCCGAACAAGAGAGAGAGGAGGATGAGGAACAACTGGAAGGCTCTTCGTAGATCTAATGGGACCAGTCGAAAAAGGTCAAAAACCAGCGAGTGCATTGAAAAGAATGAAAATCAACTGATGCGGTAAATTAGGCTGTATTGGAGTTTGCAGCGGAACAGTGTAGTTGACGGACAGGGGATGATGGAGTGCTCGTGCGCAGTTCGCAGCCCTCCCACCGGTCCTCAGGTGGGCGTGCTAGTAGCCAGTTGAAACCACGCATGTCCGACGACTGTCCACCGCCACCACCACCACATCGAACAATCCAACACAATCCCTCCTCTACAGAAGAAAACGGTTGACTGAGTTCACGGGAGAGGGGGGGAGGGTAGGGGATAGAGGGGAAGAGTGGGCAAGGGAAGGAATATGCGAAAGCTTTCAGAAAGGACCTTTTCAGATTTGTTTCTAAAATGAAAGAGATGAGCATGAGAAGGTTCGAGTAGAAAATGGGATCATATTGACGAAAACGGGTTGGTAATATTTCAATAATAATAGTAACAATTATATGGAAAGGAAATGAAGCCAGAAGGTGGCCAGGGATAGACCCAGTTCATCTTTACCTCCTTAGGTGCTGATGCGTGGGAGAGAGCAGGGAGAGGGGGAGGGTGTCCCAATCAGAATCAGGACTCCGTTCTCTAAATAGGATCCTTTGACTGCATAGGGCGAAAGCAATTCCATCGGTGAAGAATACTCAGAGCAAGTCTGACTCCTGAAGAAGTATATATTCTTGGGGAAGCGAAATTGTGGGTGTTCATAAGAGATCCACAGGATTGATTCGGGTAGTTTTTAACTCGTCCAGGTCAACGACCCAATAATGGACCCATTTCACACTCAAATGCGCCCATGACTTTCACTACGAATCAAATGTGCGGCGCATTATCAGTGAACGAGCTTTCAGACAACACACTCCCAAGAGTATGAGGGAGTTTTCTCATTTTCCGCCATGAAGTCTTGTAATTGGGGTCAACAACTATAAAATGGTTCCTGTTTAATGAAAGCTATTCTCGACCTCGTTCGTCAATGCAGAGATAACAGGATTCCCATGTTTATTATAGCTCCCGACTCCGACCCCTCCCTTGGGCGTCAACCGCGAACCTCTGCGGGAAACGCTACGAATTCTCATTCAAGTCGTTTTCTTTGTTGAAGGAATTCCTCTTGGAATAAAAAGCTGTCCCAGTGGAAGTATTCATTCTGAATATCCGATCAATGGAGAGATGAGGGGTTTATGGCGATATCTGTTTCCAACATACGGTCCCCAAACGCCGCTTTCCATACGGTTCCCGAACACACCGTCCTGCCATAAAGAGCTAGAAGGACGCGATCAAAGAGGTGGATCCTAGGTGACTGCAGAAGATATTGAGGAGAGAAGGCAATGGGGATGACTAACCAGAACAAAGGACAAAACAAAGGTGAAATCATCAAAAGTAGGTGCGCCTTTCATCAGTTTCAAAGGAATTCGGTCAAAAGAAAAACAGCAACCAAACCAAACCATGGAAAATTGAACCGATCAATTTCAATCTAAGTTTATATTATGAGATTCAAGATGTCTCGCTAGCAGTTCTAGATCAAACCAACTCCGAAATCCATGGCGAACCAGAATGGAAGTCACAGCTACGGTACTTTATAGTAGCTAAGTCAAGACCAAAGCCCCATCAGGCACCCCATACTTCAGGGTGGTACATGTTACTCCCCACACCATCCCTTAAAATAGCGAGGAAAAGTCATATCACCTTTTCTTTGAAAGTCATTTCAAAGACCATACAATCGCTTAGATAACTTGGACAGTGACGGCGCATCTTGGAGCAAGACCGATCTCTCAAATCTTTCTATCATTTTCAACCAAACAGAAAGTTGCCCCCGAGCACTCCTATGTTTCCTCTGTTCTCACTGATCAGGAAATGTTACCAATGTCAATCATTTAAAGATGTGCTCGATAAATCATCAAAGACCTTTTGAACAGGATAGCGCAATGGGCAGCAATGGTGTTCAGAAAGCCCAGGCGAAGGTTCGAGTTCCAAAATGATCGACCTAGCCTAGCAAAAAAAATGATATTTCACCCTCGAAAGAGGCGACTATTGAAAAGAATTCTGCAAAGAACAAGTCCTTCGAAACCCAATTTCTTTTGTATCTCCTTGTGAATAAACAAACAAATACGTCAACAAAGTGTAATTTATCTCAGAAAGAGGTTTGTCTGCCATGTATTCACCTAATAGTTTTGTTTGGAAAAAAAATTATAAAATTGCTGACACACTCGTGCAGAGGGATGCAATGCCTGCTTCTATTATATATAATATCTATAAATTAAATAAACGCTCTCGATATTAGTTTGATAAATGAGCCCCTCCTCTCAACATGTTAGAGGTCAGTCTCACGATTGCCGGATAGTATATGTCACCAAAAATGGCAGACATTACATAGAACGAGTCAGCTCCCTCTGTTTTTCTTACTGAGTCACCATTTAAAACGACAGACTCTTTACGGAGATCCAGTTCACAAAAGGACAATTTTCTCTGAACAGTCTGTAAGTCTGTGATTGCGGATGGGGATTATTGTACGGCGACAAATATCTGAAAAAAATTGCAGAATTCAGAAAAGAGTTTCGAATTTGAAAACTATGATCGCTTTCTGCGCTCTCCCCACAATGTAAAGGGGTGGTAGAGATAAGACTAAGGAAGGCTGCGCTGCCAGGAAATCAATTGTCCAAAGATCGAATCCCGCTGAGGCTAACTTTGTTTGCAAGTTTCCCAATTTCGATCCGTTGAGGTTGGCCCTATCCGAAGAAAATCTTCAAAAATGGCTTGTAACCATTTTGGCGGCTGCGCCACACACTCAGAAATCCACAGAAACTTTTGGGGGAACCTGTTGACTTGCCCAATAGTAAACTATGAAAAGGTCGACAATTCAACGTTCCTTAATCCATTGTCTTTCTGGATAATGTAACGTGTTTATGTTGTAAATAAATAGCCCTAAACATCAATCGACAGGGGTTCGACGGGAAAGAGCTCTTGATCCAGGACTCAGATTATTTCAGGGATTTTGGTAAATTCGAGGCAATACAAAAAGCCACCGCGCAAAAAAGGCTTGTACGAGAAGAAATTTTTTCATTTGTAATCCAGAAAGTAATCAAATCCAGATGGACCAAATAGACAGCGAGTAATTCAAACATTAAAGTTTAGTAGCTAGCAACTCGCCCGACTGAAGCCTTCTTCATGTTAAAATAGCAGTAAAATTTTCGTGGAAATTTTCAGCCTTTTTCTGAGAGTAAAAATTGCGGATCGGCCATCAGCTAGTTGACTTGATTCCATACACATCCAAAAGTCGTTACGATTCTGTAGAAAAGCGAATCCGTGGCGTATCCCCAGAAAGACTGGATGCGGGGTGTGTAGAGTCTTTTTAAGATCTTCGACAATGGAAAGTTGGCGAGAAATGGTAATGTTATTGACGAAGAGTTGCGTAACTTCCAATGACCGTACATAGTAGGGTGTGGGAATGATGTATGCGAGTGATAATTGCTGTTGAATGACCCGCCGACAGGATAAAAACCAACCAGCTGAGCTGGTACATGGCGTACGGTGTAATAGGGGGATAGGAGGCCAGCCGGATAGGGATGAGGGAACGTTTTGTGCGCGATGATGGCCTCCGTTCGGAACAGATTAGGTTGGCGTAAATCTTTGACGACGAGCAGGAAGTGGACCCCACTGATGCGGCACACATCCCAGACACATCCGGTACTAGTCAGGCCACTGTTTGGTAGCCTGTGCACAAAGACTCTTTGTGATTCTCCCGGGACAATCCGGGATAGAACTTGCGCCTTTTTTCGCGTGGTCATTCCGATTGAGTATTTGGCTTCCACAGTAACTTGTGGAATCCATTTGCAAAAAATCAATCTTCTATCCTCCCACCTCCCAGACAAGACCTACGGCCCTGACTCAAGGTGAAGTGTTGGCGAAGGAATAAGTGGTGATGGGAGACTAGGCTACGTTGGCTTTGTAACATTTGAATCGGGTCTCGGCTTCGATACCCAGGACTAGATGCAAGGTAGAGGCGCCCATGAGCAGTACACCACCTCTACCTTTTGTTCAGTATAAGTGGAAATGAATAATGAGTACTGAAAGAATTCAACCATTTAAGCTAGTCAACCCGAAACACTAGTGACAACTCGTCCAGATGAGAGCATCACATGATGGAAGCAAGAAAGTCTAAAACAGCAGAAAATGCTGCCCAAAGCAGGAATGGATGTGCCATCGTCATGACATGCAGTTTTCACGAATCTGACCTGACTTGGTAGTATTTCTCTGAATAATCTTGTTTGTGGTGAAAGTATTGAAGTGCCTTATCGTACTGCTATATAAGTGGTCATAGGGATCGAATCCGGGACCGACAACAGGCCATGGACGGCTTTTCACCGCAAGCTATTTTATAAGTCACATACGCATATTAACCCCCTATGCTTCTGAATAGAAATCGAGTGCAGGGCTTATTCCAGAAGCGGGAATGATCAATGCCGAAACACCTAATCCTTTACACTTTTCTCCCACATTTTCTGAGGGACGGGTTGAGAAGTTTGGGAGGTCGACCACCCTAAAATTAACTGCCTAGTACCTGACCGTGATTTTATTATTTTACTACTCTATTGATACGAATGAGACTTTCCAGAAAGTTCTGATGTACGATGGTCAGTCAAAGTGCACAGAAGGAAGTTGTAGGCACAGATGGTCAGTAAAGTGGATAGAAGGAAGAAGTTGTAAACACAGTGAGAGAGTTTGACGAATACAACTCTACGGCCGGCTATCTAGAAAGGTGTCCTAATTTTAGGGTGTAACAACAGCTCAATCACAGTATCGGATCGCCATTTCATCAGATGGTATCCTACGTAGGAAGGAGATCGCTAGGAGAGATGTTCAAATAGCAACGGAAACAAGTTTCCCAGAGATCTGAGGGATTTTAGGACCAAAGGATGCTCTTAACATCCTAGCTGGTTCCAATTGCCAATCCCATAGTGATGGAAGGCTTCATTGGACTGAGCGGGTGTCGACCTGGGATTCGATCTCTGGACCAGGCACCTGACAGTACCGTTCGGCACTCTGTACTCTATCTTCGCCCACAAACAAGAGTCAGGTGTGGATTGGGCTTTCCATGACATCAGAACAAAACTTCGCCATCTGGGACGGTGAGGGAAGCAGTAATCGTAAATGGGTAAATGGGTGTAATTAATCATAAGTAAAAAAGGTAAATGGGTGTAGTTAATCATGGGTAAAAAGGTAAATGGGCAAAAGGGTCGATGGTTGCACCTGGATTAACCGTATTCTTGGAGCTTAGGTAATAACAGCAATCCAAAAACGTGATTAATGTTCTGTTTATCTGTTTACATCGTTTACATATTTTGATAACCGCGATTTTTTATATCATTATCAATACCAATCCCTT